TCAAGTAACTTTCAATCCTCTTTGATTGATAAAAAAAAACATTGATTTTCATGCAAAAATATGCCTAACATATTTCCCAACATTTAAGAACCAAATTATTACCTCAATGAATAGAAATCATTAATATAATCGGTAATCCTCTTATATCACAACCTTGAATTGCATGCTGAATAAAATCTAGTTTTAGAGATTCCCTCTTCATCTGCCTAACACATTAGCATCATGTTCTAAAACAGTTACATGGTTGCAAATTGTTCTCAAAATCAGAAGGCGGGAACAAATTTGTGACATTTTGAAAAAGGGCTACTGATTTCAAAACTGAAATTTGTCATTACCATACCATTCATTAAGTTTTAATGTTATGGAAAAATCAATTCGAATTTCGACATTAGTATTATACAGGGTGGCAAAGGGAAACTGAAAAGTTTAAAGTAGCGTAATTTGCACAATTGAACACAGGAAGGCCGGGATAGCCTGATTGGTAGGACGTTGGGGTCATGTTCGTGAGAACATGAGTTCGAATCCCGCTAGGCGAAGAATTTCCGCGTATTAAATGGTGACTGGTACACGTTAAATCTGTCAGAGTCACAAAGACCTCGAAGTTTCCATAACAAATCAATACCTCTGGATGTACTGAATTGGAGATTGATCGTTCTCTGGTTCAGGTGAAAATAACAATCTATGGATGAATGAAGGAAGTATGACTGGGATCTCGCTGTGAAACGGGCTGAGACATGTGTGTGGCTGAAGTCCTATTCTTAGCCATAGATAGCCCTACTGAAAAAAAGAGAAGCGCACCCTCTGTCTTAAACATTTGCTTGATTTCCAACACTCTTGCTGGTATTGACAAATAGCATAAGCAGAGCCGCGATGACTCAGTGGATAGAGCGTTCACCTTCCAATGAGGTGAACCTAGTTTGACGATTGCTGGACGATACGAATCCGCATCCGACTTACACCAACCACAGTGCTGACGTGAAATATCCTCAGTAGTAGACGGATCATGGGTTAGAGTCCTTTTGCCATCATGCTAACCATGGCAAGTTCTCGTGGTCTTCCTCTCCATGCAACGCCAATGCGGGTTAGCCCCATCAAAAAGTCCTCCAGGGTGTCGAATTTCTCTCAATACTTGATCCAGGAGTTACCTTGTCTTCTCGATTGGGTTCGAAATTACAAGGCTACTGAGTTGAACATTAGTTGTCGTAAACCGAAAAATTGGGTCGGCTGTTCAACGACGTTTATTAAATAAAATAAAATGACATAAGTTACAATAAGAACAACAAACACAATCTAACAATTTTATTGACGAAGTGCATGAACACAATATGCCCTTTATGCTCCCCTACCAAAATGTCACAAAATGTAAATTTCTTTAAGAGGGCAATGGTAAGATATGCTCCCTGCAGCGTTCACATTTCAATAGCCTGTTGCAGAAACTCCAGGAAGTGTCGTGTAACCCATCTTTTCAATGGCTCAGCTCCCTGGCTTGCAGCTTTTGGAGCTCGTTCCAAAATGTGTCGACGATACCGTTAGAAAACTAACAAATGTTTAATTGGTGTTAATTCTAAGAGAAGAATGGAGACATTCCATCTTTTTCTTTTTGTACAGAACAAATTATTTTGAGTTGAATTAAAATCTTTTGAAATCAAACTGTTCATTTTTAATACAAAATATTTTCCAACGCTGCAGCGACAGTATTTTATATTAACTTCTTCATCAAAATGAAAATTCAAACAAAATATGCTTGCAAAAATTGAGAATTTCATTGGTGCATTTTAAGAAGAACAATCAAACCAAATTCAGTAAAAATGTTTCCTAAGTATCTAAACTACATGAATTAATTTTATTATTCTTTAAGATTTTAACTATTTTCATTTCAAATTGTTTTTCTGATAGAACCTTTTTATGATATTATTATACAATAATTATTAATATATAATAATTATAATGATTGTTATAATATGCATTTTGATTATAGAATTATTGCTAAAGAAAAAATAATGACGTCACATTAAAACCATGATCATTCGAAAGGCCAACAATTAAATGATTATTTACTTTCCAAAAGTAGAAGAAATTTTGAGCGAATCTTCATAACTCCGTATCACAGAACTGTTGAGTGTCTTCAAGAAGTAAATAGAGAGTTTATATTGGATTTTTTTTATTTATATATAATGGTACAATATAAATGGTGTACATGCACTTTCGTCCTTAAAATATTTCCTTTCTGTGTTCATTTTTGCAAATTACGCTACATTACAATTCCCCGTACCTATTCAGAATAATGGAAAATTCATTTTCTGGCTCACGATATCTTAAATTTTGTTAGCATGATTTGTTTGTTTGTTTAGTTTCGTAATCGAGAGAAAAGCAAAACTGATATCCAAATCTAGTGAATCACAACATTGTGGAAGATGGGAATAAAAACATATTTGATTACTGTAAGAAAATTAAAGGTGTCTGTAAAAATTTATGGAAAAAAATTTTAATATATTGAAACCAATATATATATANACTTTAAAAACAATTTCATAGTGGAAGAGAAATTTACCGTGTTTCAAAAAAAAATTGTGAATGTTTTTTTTTTTTTAAATTAAGAACATTAATGAGGCAATTTATTTAAAAAATTCAAAATTTTCGTATCAAAAAAATATTATCAAATAAATTTAAAATATTGAAAATGGAGAAGGAGAAATTTTATTTAAACATAGTGTTCATTACAAAAAAGTATTTTTTAAATAGAGTAATTTTAAAAAATATTTTTTTTACAAAACTTAGGAAATTGAATATGGAACGAAAAAAAAATTCACAAAAATGAAAACACCTTTAAAAATAACTTTTAAAGCAGTTTTAAAATATGAGAACGAATATTGGGGTACGGGTAGAAATTTTTTTTAAAAGAGCAGAATTCTCTCCAAGAAGCAAGTGGTGAACAAGAAACAGATATTTCCTCCTCTACTAGTATGAGATAAGAAAATTTAAAGCTCTTAGAACGGATTTTACAAGCATATATTTCTTAAATAGATTAGGAAAATAGATTAGGATTGTCGTGTCTTTACGATCAGTCTACTGCAGGACTAGTAACCAATGATAAGATTCTAGAAACCGGAAAAAATTTTAAAGCTTCCAATGTATCCCTTTGCATGTGTTACGTCTGCAAGGCGACGTATGAATAGGTTTAATATTAAAAGAAGTTTGTTGTTGCGATTTGTGATTAAATTTATACATAATTTTACCATTCATATGAATTTTGTGCAGTTTGTAAATTCTAAAATGTCGTGAGCCTTCAATCAGTTAAAGAAAATTAGCGTAGTGATATAAATTCGGCGTAACGTTCGCCGTGTTTTGAGTGCTATCCTTTATTTGGCTGTCTGTGTCGCCTTTGGCTATTTTTTTTTTCTTACGGTAGTACATTTTTATGCATGTGGAGTTTCTGAATTCCTTTGTTGTTGACTTCTTTGAAAGTTAAAGTGAAAGAACTTGTTATATTGTAATTTACTGGATGGAGCACTTTTTCAAGCTTAGGCGTAAAAATAAATCAGACGTAGTAACCCGGAAGTCTTACGGCGAATTGTAACCCCTAACGCCATCTGTGCCTTAGGTTTTGTTGAAAGAACCATAGAGTTGAAATAGTAAAACACCATCCGAATGGATGGTGTTTTCTACACTTGCGAACGCTACAAGCTTTGGCTGCCTATACTTCCTGGTTACTGTTGTTGGTGTGTTTTGAAGCCATTTGGCTCACAATGTGATCATTGCGTTTTGAGACTCTCTTGAGTAGTATTTCTTGTATACCTGTATCTGTCTGTTACCTGATTTATTATTTGTGCTTGAAAGAAGAATCATTATAAGAATAGTTCTTTGAAGACCTGTCATTTCAAGATGTAAAAATTGTAATTTGAAGAAGAAATTATTATGAAACACTTCTTACCTTGTAAACAATATACCAACTTCGAAATTTAAACCTAAATGATAATTTGTGAAATAAACTTAATCTCGCTGCTCGAACAATATGCTAGAACTAACGTATGATGGTGTACGTTCGGCATCAGGAACAACCAATAATAAACAAACAAAAAGAGGCCAAATTAGAACTGCCAAAAAAGTGAATTCTTTCTAAATCTAGCAGCATGTCCCCTTTTTAAATAATACATCAGATAGCTAAATAGCTGAAACAAATTTTCTCTTTAAACGTTCCAGAATTACTTAATATCATTAATATCTTTTAAAATACAGAAGATTTCAGATCAGAAATCATATAACTTATTTGTTTTACTAAAAACAAAATTCTCAGTTTGAAAATATCGCCTCACAGAATAAGCTGTAATAAGCAATTGTATACTTTCTAACCAGAAGTAGAGCAGGTCAAGAGCTCGAGATTGTTGCTGTTTACATTTCAAGAACACAAATACCATTGACAATTGAAATGGGCTACAGATGGCGTAGAGCAGCACTCTCTCCCTATTGCAAAACTTCACATGCTTTCACCATTAGCGTATAGAAAGTCATAGAAGAAGGAAGTGCGTAAGATTCCCTCTTAATTTTCAAGTAGATTAAAAACTTTTAGTTAGGAAACTAAATGGAACTGTGAACTACATTGAACATAGTTCCAAAAGAAAGCGGCGTGGAAATTTCAAAAAATATTTTTGATAATTAAATACGAAAAATATTAAGAAAGGAGAAAATATTGTAGGAGGTGGTGAGGGAAGGAGACAGGATCAAGTCATGGATCCGATCTCTTCCCCAGATGGCGCATTCAAGCGTTGTGATCGCAAATCTATGACAAGGTTTACATCTGAGCTATTTATACGAAAGTTTTCTTAACTTTTGGTCAATTAATCGGTAAAATCATTAAAGAATCAGCTTTGAGTTAAAAACTTTGAAATATGTTGGGATTTTTATAAAAATTACTAAAAAAATGAATAAATTGTAATATTTGAAAATTGTGGCTTATAAGACACATATGTATATAGTGAATATTTAAATTTAAAGAAATAGACAGCTGGAAGCTTCCCTCACAAGCCGTCGCTTTAAATTTGATTGTTTATTTACACTTCTACAAACTGAGTTGGCAAAGCAATGTGCAAGTTATAGATTTTGAAATGCTCTTTCAAAAGTTGTTAAGAATATGAATTTCGCTTTAACTTTATTGCTCTCAGATCACTTATTTGTCTCTAAAATATTTCCTTCTGCACTTTAATATAAAAGCAAGTTTTCAACTTATCATACAACAATGTGGTTTTTATATCTTCTCAGTTGGCTAGGAATTGTCATCCAAATTAGCTTTATAATTCTATCTGTTGGTGAGAGACTTTAATTATTATCACATTAAAGAAGTGTATTTTGTCGGTCATTCTAGAATCCGAAATCAGTTTCGAATTTAGAATCTGATTTCGTTTTTAACTAAAGAGAGTTTCCGTACTAATTATTAAATACCACATTATATAGACATTTATTATAAGAACTGAAAAGTTATGATTTCCTTATAGTAATGTGCGGCAGAATAATCGCCAAGTCTTGATAACTTCCGGGTGGCGGCTCATGAGAAACTGAAAAAAAAAATATCACTGGCATGGTCCAACTTGAAGGATCTAACTCTTAGCCACCCCATTTAAGGGGATGTTTCAGTATCGTGATCTGTCACGCCAACTACAATCACCAAGGTCGCTGTCTGGAAGTTGCCAATACTTTACGACTACTCTGCCACAGATCACAATACAGAACTCTCCCCTGGTTAAAGTTCTACATGTTCTTTTTAAAAAAAAAGGAAAAGAAAAATTCAAGTTAAAAACCCATGTGGTGCCTTGACGATGGTAGCTGGCGTGACAGATCACGAGACGAAAATTTCCCCAACTTAGCTTATTCTTGTAGAAATTTTATAATTCTTAAAACTTTATGCTTCTATTTTAAGTAGCTGAAAATTTAAAATTAAGATAATCTCTTGTGTAACAGGCAAAGATTTTATACCAAAATTCTGTTTGTTTTTAGCAAACTTATTTATGTAACGACTGAAGGTTTTCAAAATAGCTTATAAATTTAGAACTCCCTACTCTTCCCTAAAATTATTAAAAATTAAATATGCATTGGAATAAAGTTACTAAATATTTGCTTATTTTATTTTTTTTAAAAATAAGAAAGAAAGAAAGTCACTGTATTTTTCAAATAGAAAATCAGATCAAATGAATTGAAAATTTAATTTATAAATCTCATTGGAGTTATCATAGAAACATAATTCTGGTTTCATTATAAGTAATTCAGAAAGATGCCAAAAGCAAACATGAAAGGAAAGTGCTGTATTTCGTAACTTAATGTAAAATCAGACAAAAGCATTTTACGCTTGAAATTTATAGCATTGGAAGGTTTATATTTAAAGCTGACATTCGAAGGCTCTTTCAAAATACCATTTGCAGTAAATCCTTATGATTTATTTTTAGAGAGAACAAAAACTTTTTAAGTTTGTAAGTATTATTTATTTGTTTAATTTCAGTTTTAACAATCATGCTCTTGTGAAAAATTATGATTTATTTTGTTTTGATTTTTCTCTATTACATTTTAAAGTAGGGTTTTTCTTTTTTCCACATTAGCATATTCAGAATTTTTTAGATGAATTATCTAACTTAATTTTTTTATGCCTTAAATGTTTTGAATAAATTTAATGCATTTATAAAATATTGTTAATTATTTTTTTCTGATGTTTTGAATAGATATTATTTTTTACAGCTGCTGGTCTTTACTATATTGCTGAACTGATTGAAGAATATACAGTCTTCACTTGCAAAGTCATTAGAATACTAATCTTGGTAATAAGAGTGAAATACGTATTTAAAAAAAATTGAATTACTTTCTTTTTAATTGTTCATGCTAAAGGTTTTTATATTTAAAAAACAATGAATGTTTTCATTAAATTTATATGTATAGAGTAAAATTTACAACTCTTAGTTTTAGCTAGTTTTGCCTAACTGGTAAAGTTAATCAGGATATTACAGCAAAGAACCCTCTATATGTTAATGATCGCTATTCATTTAAAGTTAATTAGACAGGGTATTTATGATTACTTATCCTAGTTGAAAATTTTTGACATTTATCATTGCTGATAATTGTTGATATTGATCATTTCTTGAGATTATTAATATTCATCATATTCAGGACTTATCATGGAAATATATTTTAACTATAGTTATCAATATTTATGATATATCAAACATATTGCTGCAGTGTATGCCGCACTTCCAATTTTAGCCACTATTAAGGGAAAATCAGGCATTTTAAGCACAAACTAAAAAAAAATATTTGGCAGCAGCGTAATATGCCGCACTTCCAATTTTATCCACTATTAAGGGAAAATGAGGCATTTTAAACACAAACTAAAAGAAAACAAAATAAATTTTGGCAGCAGCGTATCACATAGGAAAGCTAACTTAGTCTTTCTAAGGTAAAACGCGTGAGCTCAAAATCTCTCATACAACTTTAGAGGCAATAACAGCATGGTGTAAAGAAAGAAGTCGGAACTGCTAACTGGCAGCAGTTGAAAGGATAGGAATGAAAGTGAAATGCCTTGCATTAATCACGTGATGCTGGTGACCTCATTAATAAGAACAGCAAGAATTTTTATCTTCTCTTCTCTCGATTAGCATGGTTCACCCACCTATTCACTCATAAGATCAAATCTCAAAAAGGAGATCGAGGCAAAACACAACACACCGATTATGTGGCTCTGATGGCCTCATCAATAAGAACTGGAAAAAAAAAATTCTTTTCATCTTCTCTTCTTGGCGAACGTCCGCCACCCACTCCTAAAAACAAATTTTTGCAGATGTGAGTTTGAACCTCCATTCAAGCTTTGTTTCTTTCGCTCATTGCATGCATTTTTATATTCTTTATGCAATTGCTTTGACTTGAAATGCATTTTTTCCATATTCCCAAAACACAGACATTTAATTTTTTTAAAGTTGTAAATTTGAATTTGTTGCACATTCGTAGTTTACATCATACAGTTCATGTCACTCAAAAATTTGTCCTATCCTGCCATATTTTAATTAAAAAAATATTTGTTAAAAATTAGAAAATATATTATTTTCTGAGCAAATTAATATTGGTCCACTAATTTAAAAAAAAATTTGTAAACATTTATATTTTATTAAATCCACATTCATTGCGTAATTCTCATCCATAGGCTGTGGAAAAAAAATGGAATTGTAAGACAGGCCACACGGATATGCAGCATGTCATGATAATTTGATTTTTAAATGCATCCATCCAACCATGGTGTATCTACTTTAAATTATTGTAATGATTTCACTAAAACTTAATGCATAGCAGGGTGCAAATGAAAAGACATAGAAAAGAGTGTAAATATGTCTATCAAACCTATATAAAAAGAGCCTATGATACCCTATATGATTTGGTCAAAATTTCATTAAATTTTTTAATCTTTTATTTCATTACATTTATTTTTACAGGTAACTATGGCTGTGTATGGAGGATTATTTTTATTTGAAGATTTCCCAGCTTCCATGATACTTTCTGGTCTTGTTAGTCAAGTGATGCATTTTTGGGTGCTAAGAACATTTCCATTCTTTGATTTAACATCATTGCCATTTATTGGCGCTGTTGGTAAGTACTTCTTATAATGTTTAAAAATTATCTTCTCTACACTTAATTACAGTTTATTACTTGTGAAATATTCAGGGATGTGCTCAAAGGTTAGGGTGTTTCCCTAAAATGTGATTTTTTTTTAACTGAAATAAATATTAGTTTTTATTATTTTCTGGAGTCTTATTGATGCATATAAGCAAGTTGTATTGGCCCAAATTTCTATTTGAAGGACTTATGTGCATATCAAATTTAAAAATATAAACAGACTCTTAAGGAATTAGAGTCAAACCATTGTTTGTGTAGTTATCTGTTTCATATCAAATCAAATTCTATCCATGCTAATTTCAGTTCAAATTTTGGTGTGAGTACTAAAGAAAGTATTGTGTTATCATTTTTACTTTTGCAATAGATAATTTAATCTGAATTTGCAATATTATCTATTGCAAATTCAGATTAAATTATCTATTGCAAAAATAAAAATGATAACACAATATTTTCTTTTACAAACAAATATCTACTTTTACAAACAAAATTATTGCAGTTAAGGTAAGAAAACATTGACAAAATGACAAAAAAGATTAGTAGATTCAACTGAATTATGTGCTAGGCTGTTATTACCCCAGAAAAAATAGTAGAAATACCAGTTCATATCTACATTGTTTTCAGGAAAAGCAAAATATCCTTGACTACCAAGACTTATTATTAGCAGTCATTACATATACACAAGACTATTTCTTTTCTTTGGAAAAGTAAAAAGTGGTGTATAGTAAAAAATAATAAAAGCTTTTGCTATACTTTTTAACAAATCTAGAAATTAAATGCTTTTATTTCCAATTTTTTCTCTTTTCCTGGGATATAAACAGCCCTGTGTGTGGGAAAATACAAATTTTATTGGTAAAAGATTATATCCATTCAAAAATGGGTATACTAGGAAATTCCAAGATAAAGTGTCAGATATATAATAGTTTATTTTAAAGAAATAGGGACAAATGACACACCGAAATGTTCTAGACAGCTCAAGTGACTTGCAGAAATGTTCTGGGCCCCCCAAAAATGGAAGACTAGCACGTTATTATCATTTGCAAGTAAAGTAAAAGACTTTCAGTAATTGCAATCAAGGAAGAAATAAATGAAATTAGACTCACTCTGGTTTCAGTTGATAGGGTTAAAGGGCGACTACGTGGCACAGACTTAAATGGCCAAATATCTTACAAAAACCACTCTTAAGATGTACAAAAAAATTTAATCATCATGAGTGAGCTAAGAAACATCAAGCAAAATTTTTTAGAAAGCAAGTTTATATTGTTAATTGGTGATTATATGAAAGGGTTGTAGAATGAATGTATGAAAGTTGTTGAAAATGACAGTATAAAAAATGAAGGTGTAATTCTATGATTTGGATAAGTTTTGGGAGAGGTAGGGTAATAATAAAGTCAACTAAGAACAAAAAGATGTACCTCAATATCATAGTTCATCATGCAGTTCCCTCTAAAACAAAAAATATTGGAAGAAGTGTTCATTTGTCAACATGAGGACGACATTTTTAAACCAGGAAATCTAGAATTCGATCATGGATAGTCTATATGAAGAAAAAAAATTAGAGAAAGGTATATTGAAATCAAAAGTGTTAAAAATAGTTTCTTCAGTTTGAAAGACTAATGAAATGTGTAATTAAAATTATGAAATGTGTAATTTAAAATTATAGACTAATTTTTTTTCCAGGTTTTGTTATTTTTGATCATTATTTAGCCTTTCGATATTTCTCATCTGTGTACTACCCATTTTCACAGGTAAGCTTCTATCATTTCGATTTTGTTATTTTATTTGATTTCAAACTCAATTTCAAAGCTAAATAAATGCATGCATAATATTGATGTTAAAAATAATTGGTTAAAATTTTGATTCAAAATTGGGGATTTTGACTTAATAACAAATATTCTACTGAAATTATTGTATAGAATATTATCTATTTTTCTATAAATTTTAGGAAACTTATAAATTTGGAGTGGGGTTAGAAGTGCCCGAAATTTCATCTCTTTTTTTTATACCAATGGAAAACATAAAGTATTATTTCTATTTTAACATCAAAATGTTTTAACTACTATTGTTGGAAATTCATTTTATCAAAGATTAGATTTCAATATAAAAATGATTTTATAAACTTTTTTAGGCTTAAGTCAATAAATTTAATGCAATCTTAAATCTTGTGGTGAAATGAATCAGGACAAATACATCAATATTTAAACTTAGTTATTTTATTACTTGATTAGTTTTCTAAATGTTCAAATGTCTAGATGTTTTTTTTATTAGGTATTTTGTATTAAATAAAATCAAACCTACTAGTAAAATAACATAGTGTATAATAAAATTTAGGATGATTTTGGAAGAAATGGCATTAGTTTTAATAATCATTGACAGAATATAAATGAATGCAAATCTTTATGCTTGAACCTTATCAGTAAAAAATTAAGATGCCTTGAATTACTATGTCTCTACCTTAAAGTGAGAGAATAATTTTATATTTGTTTTTCAAATTCCATTATTAGGACTTTTTCATAGTGGACATTATCTTAAATTCCTTACAAACGCTAAAAGTCCAACTATTTCCATTAGGGAAAAAATGTGAAAGGGCGTATGTCAAAAGTAAAAAATATGGAAGAAATTCATAACATATTATGATTCTTTTTCTTTTGATGAAACATTATTTCATATACTACTAAAAAAAATTTTTAAAAATAGACTTTTATGTTATATATATATATATATATATATATCAAGGAGTTTTTTTTATCTTTACTTATTTTGAAAAAATGAATTAATGTTTTCTAACAAAGAGATAGCAAATTTTACTCAAAAATTAAATAATTGATTGTGAAACCGATAGGGAATGGACTACTATTAAAACTAAAGTTTTCAATGAAGTGAGTGATAAATTATTTGAAATAAAATTTGTCTAAAATAAAGAATAAGTTACAATAAGACTTAGAAGAACCTTTAGGGTTTTTGTCTTCTTTAATTTATAAAATTTCTGATATATTTTGAAAGTACATATAAGATTTTTTTGTCTTCAGATGGTAAATACTTTTTGAATTACTGCTATTTGTGCTAATTAAATTTTTTGTTTATATTTATTTAAAGAAAACCTGATATAGCAAATAGTTACTAATGTGCTGTAATACTTGTAAATAAATTGTATTCATTTTTTTTTAAAAAAATATTAAAATCAAAAAATTGGGATTTAAATCCAAAGCAAATTTGATTAAAATCACAGTTCTGGTGATGCCATATTTTATGCTTGAACTAACTTAAAATGACTAATTGATATCTAAATAATTCTATTATTTTTATAAAAGACTATCTAAGTATACTGTGTTGTTTTTAAGTGATAAGGAAATTTTAAACACGTTTTCTTACATATTTTTAATTTCACTGCCACTAAAAATATTGTTGAGAGCCAAAACTTCTAGATTGGCGGCTCTGTAAATCTAACAATTTTGACCATCAAAAATCATTAACAAATTTTAATTCCGAAAATCTCTGTGACAGAATCGCGGTGACACTGCGACATTGTCGCTGAATTCTTGCAGAAAGATTTTTCCTGTGGGAAATAAAAAAATTTGGTTTTCTTTTCTGTAGAAATTTTCAAAAGGTTTAATCTTCAGAATTATTTTCCAAAGATGCTATTCTTGTGCATGGGAGTGGAAAAAATGCTTATAATTTTTTTATTCTCATTTGAGAATAATGAAGTAAAAATGTTAGTTTTCTAATTTGTTTAATTTAATTTTTTTGGCAGTTATTGCTATTGATTTCCACTCAGTTTTTAAAATCCGATATTTTAAATGATATTATTTATTACAACAGCTGAATCTTGAAATGAAAACACTTATTTGTAACCCTCTTTTTAAAGAGTTCGATTTGCATAATTTCGCCATCAATCTTTTTTTCTTTTTGTGGTAGTTACTACTATGGATTTCACTATTTTTTAATTTGATGATGACTTGCAAAAAAAGAATATCTGCAGATTGTTCTTGTAGAATGGAGCTTATCGATACTTATTCAAAGCTGTTTAAAAAAAAATTATCTATTTACTTTTAACATAATCTTTCATTTTTAGGTTCTAGCCTACTTCACTATTTGTTTGTGGCTTGTACCATTTGCGTTTTTTGTTTCATTGTCTGCAAATGAAAATATCCTACCCACAATGGCTGAAACTAGACCACTGAATGCAGGTAATGGAACAGTTATGTTGATTCAATTTAAAATATTTTACATTTACTCTCTCAAATGGGGTTACTTTGCCCACTCTCTAAAATAAAATGTGAGTGGCATGAGGCAGTTACTTATTGGTCTTTGAGTGCTCTGTTTATAATCAAGGCTGTTAGTTGTACTGTTGGCAAGATTGAGGCAGGCATGTTTCCATTTAGTGATGGCTTGTCACAGTAAAAATAATTTTGTAACATGACAGTTGAGTAAGCTTAACAACTTTGATCTGTGAAGCTCATAGCTTGTAAGTTATTCATTTCATTGGATGGGTATAACTAAGAAAATTTTTGTACCTTAATTTACATGCAATATTTTTTGAATCAAAATATATTTAAACACCATAACTGAACTCTTATAAGTATTTGTTCCCAAATGGTACTCTTTTTTCTCCCAAAATCCGTCTTTTGGAATGAATTCCATTTTGATGTTTAAATAATGTTAAAATGGTGTTGTAAATGGTTAAAGTATAAGTGTTATACATTTGACAGCTCCAAAGTGTTTTGCTTGGGATTTACTATAACATCATAGATTTAAAGAGAAAAACTAGTTCTTATTTTATTGTTAAACAAATCAACTTTAAAAAAAAAAATCTAAAATTACTAAAAAACACATTTTCCTTAAAATTGCTGTAAAAATTTAATTATCAAAATTTAACTTAGTCTTGATTTGAATCTGTTAAATGTAGTTGAAAATTTGAAACAATAATGCATTATTTTGAAATAATAATATCAATGAATTTCAAATCTAAATGTGACATAAAGTCCCATATTATGAAAAAACTTCGGTCACTTTACACATGTTCCTGTATTAGAAATGACTTTAAGTGTTTGTCCATAAATGATGTTGCTCTTTTCTTTTTAAATGTTTATGTCCCCCCTTGTCACATGTTTCTTTATATTACTTAAAAATACTCTAGTAGTTCAAAAGCAAAAGCCGTGTTGTAAAGCATATTTCAAATCCATATTTAAATATTAACTTTTTGTTTTAATGACATTTGTGAATGTAATGATAATGAATGGTCATTTAATAATTCTAATTATGAAAAATAAAAAAATACCAATTGGAAAAGATTTTAAATGTGTTTTTTTTTTTAAAAAAACTAAAGTGTGTGATGCCACATTTCTTGTTACCCCCTCCCACCTGTCATAAGTGATTAAAACTTCATAAACTTTCTCCATAATTTATGGATGGTCCATAACTATTATTCTAGATTATATATTTTTGTATTTTACTTTTTTGATATTTTAACTAACTGTGAAATATTATTATAGAATATTTTATTAAATCAGCTGTAGTTTATATGTATAATGTAAGGAAAAATTTTATGTGAGGTCATATTGGATTATATGATAATAAATCATTTGCAAACTGAAATTATAACTGAAACTGATTGAGAATATTTATAAAAAAGCTTAAAATCTGAGTTTGTGCCATGAGAATTTTAAAGTTTTTTTTTCCTTCTCTTGTGTATTGTCATGTAATTACTTATTGTGCCTGACCTGATAGCTTTACTAATTATATCAAATAATATGAAAAATCATTATTATCCATTTTTGTTTTGCGTGTTTGAACAAAATTAAATTCATATATTTAGTTTTTAAAAAATATTTTGCAGATGAAAGTGATGTTGTTACAAATTACTTTTCCCGTCGAAGTAAGCGGTATGGATTGTTGTCTTTCTTCAATTACGCAAAGGAGAGTATTTTACCTCAAAGAGTCAAAAAATCTTTCTAGTCTTTATCAAGATATTTCAGCTATGTAAAATTTAATTTATTCCTGAGATATTTTATTGTTTGCAAATTTAAAGTAACTTTTTTATATGGAAAAAAATTTTTTTTTACTTATTGTAGTAGCTGTTTATGTTTTTTATTGTTTATTTGCTGCCAGATACATTTGTTATTAAAATACTCTGTTTCTAAATGCTCTTTTTTCAGTTAATATTGAAACCCATACATTTGTGATTCTGTTTTGAAACTTGTTCAATTTACTTGGTTTCAAGTGTAAATTTATCCAAGTGTGAAAATGAACATTCTAAATAATCGATTCATGTAAATTTGCCATTTATTTCTTCTGTGATTTTACACAAATCTGTGTAGTGACATACACAAATAACATTTTCAAGAACTCAAAGTTTAGTGATCAGATACTCATTTATTGAAGACTGATGCTCATTATTTCCAAGGTTGTACTTTGATTTAACTTAAATGGTTTTGTTGAATACTGAATGTTAATATTACTTTTTTAAAAGGAACGTGAATTAATGTTCTGTTTTCATTCATTTCTGTATTGTAAAATAAAGAATTAAAACTCTTCTTTGTCTCTTCATTTATTTAATTAAAATGTTAAAAAGGCTATTGTTTTAGTGCAAAATATCGTATTTTATAATTCAATTCGAAAAACTTAAAAATTGGTATCCCTAGGAATATTCATTAAAGGAAGAACTTTTAAGTTTTATATGAAATATTACGCAACTTACTTAAATATTAGGAAACTTAATTTTTGAAACTCTTAATTCATTTTGTTTGTACAATAATTTCCAACAGTATTGAATAAATTTTTTAGTATTGAATAAAAATTAATGCAAGCAATTGTTCTAAAATATTTTATGAGATTCCTGAATCCATGCTCTAAGTTTCTATAAATTGTACAAATCTTCGTAAGTTTATGAATTAACAATGAGAATTTTTTTTTGCTTAAATATTCTAAACAAATCTTCAAATAAAAATTAACAATGAGCTCATAAAAAAAATTTGTTCATTGGAGTTAATAAAATATGTAATGAAGATGATTCTGACTCCTTTTTAAGGATTTATGTAAAATTGGCAATTCTACTATATTTAAATAGTTTTTTTTTCTTTTTTTTAGCAGTTAATGAAAGCATGTACTACAGTATAAGTGAGGAAATGCTGCTAACTCTGAGAAATCTCCTTGTCAGTTTTGAACAGCCAGTAGTTTAAGAGTTGGGTGTATTCAGTATTTTTTTTTCTTTTTTAAATTTGAATTAAGTGTGTTCTCAGTTAAAGGTTTAGTTTTTAAATTTTCAAAAAAGAGAGTTTGAAACTATAATAAATTGGCTTGTGAGAAAAGGAAACTTATGCACACAAATTTTTGTGCTTAATCATTTTAAATAGATTGGTGGTTTTATAAAAACAGTTAAGATATTGTTTCTATAGTAATTTGAGTAATAATGTGATAAATGTAGTTTGAGAAAAAGCACTTCTTTTTTTAAGCTGAAATATATGTTTTTGGAGAGAAAAAAAAGATTAAATTGTTATAATTTAAAAAACTGATTCTAAAGGTTTCTTTTTTCAAAAGTATTATTCAAAAACTGCTAACTCTGATTTATATCGTATCTTAAAAGAATGTATGTATTTATTGTAATCTGTTTATATATTGCCAATACATAGTAGGAAATTATTAAATTCATCGGTGGTAATACTAATTTTTACTAATAAAATATTAATACTCTCTTTTTGACTTTTAGGAAGAAATTGACAGGACTTAAAACAAAAATTTAAAAATATTGTTAAATCTCAGTTTTAGAATTTTTCTGATTCAGCAAGGAAAAAACATTTCCTATTTACTCTATGTTCAAAAAATCCTTTTTACAGCATAAATCTATGTCATTACATGCAACAATATTACTCATCCTTCCAAAATTTGATGAAAATTAATAGACTTGTGAACTTTTTATTTTAGTTTCAAAGTATCAATGATATTGAGATAAGTAAAAGAATTATGCTATCTATTATATGTTTGCCATAATGGCTCTCACACCTCCACTTTGATTCATACATATAAAGCTATGTGTGGCTATAACTCCTGAAATTTGATCTTAATATATATTGTTTTTCAGTTTAAAGAAAGCTATCCATAACCTTTTTAGAAGTAAGTACACTATGCCTACTAAACAGGCTAGATTTGCAATTTTTCTATGAGCAAGTTAACTTCACATAATTTTTGCATTGTTTCAAACTAAATGTAGTCTAAGAAAGCAGAAAGTGTGTACTAACATCTAAAAACTAATTTTTCATTAAATAAAAGTTTTGTCAAATATGAAATTCACTATTAACTGCAATAAAGACAACAGCTAGTATTTTTTTTTTTTTTTAAGTGATAAGTTTTGAACATGTGGTATATAAATTTTCAACAACATACATCAAAGATAGAAGTGTAATCAAGATTGGTGGAAACTTCATAATTTATAATGCTGTATTGTTTTGTTCAATTTAGCACGCATATTTTAAAATGACTTATTTTTAATTAATTATAAGTTGACAAGAGATAATAATCACCTGGAACAAAGAAGCTGGGTTAGGAAACTTGTTACCTCATCTGCCACAAGGGTGTAACAAGATTTAAGGTTAATGGTACATTGTAGTTTAGATTAACCAACATCATGCAAGTCAAAGCCGATAGTGTATATCTAATACACAACCCCTCTGAAACCAAGCTTCAAAAGCACATCTTATGTTAGTCATATAGGTAAGTCAGAAGATTGCTGTAAAAAATTCTAGTCTAAAATAAGGCTTGGATGTTGCTCATGTAAATGAATGTAAACTTAATGGCCAGAAAAAAATAAAAATATCTAAAGTATGAAAAGCCTTTGGTTCTATGCCATACAGATTTTTGAGAGACTACTTATAAAAATTTACTACATGTAAGAGGAAATATTATTTAAAATTTTTCAAAAAAAAATTTAACTTGTACACATGCAAAGGAACGTTAAAATTATTTTTTGAAATTGTTCCGGTTCCTCATGAGAGAATGGGTGTTGTAATAAACAAAAAATACCCATGCATAACTAGTAAAATTTAACGAACTTTTTTAAGTTAAGAACATGAGCTCTAGCAAGAATAATTTTCCCTTGGGAAGTAAAAAATTTTGGGGTTTTTTTCAGTAGAAATTTTCAAAATATTTTTCTTTCTCTCGAATCATATTTATAAAATGCCTATCTTGCCATCAGAGGTGAAAGAAATACTCGCGATTTTTCTTCTCTCTTTTATAAATAATAAAGTAAAAAAATTTGGTTTTTATTTTCTGTAGAAATTTTCGAAAGATTTTTTTATTTTTTTGCAGAATTACTTTCAAAAGATGCCTTTTTTGCGTATTGAGAAAGAAATACTCATGAGTGTGTGACTAATATGTTTCTTGCGATTTTTCTACTCTCCAACTTATTTGGCCGGTATCTGAAATTTCTAAATTTTATATGACATTGGAGGCTCTTTTTCCTACTATAGTGACTAATTATAATGACCCCAAAATTTTCAATACAGTTTTTTTTTTCTTCTTCTTTAAACAAAAGTTAAAGAGCTCAAGTGTCAAAACACCGAATTTTCGAAGAAACTTTCGTTTTTAGAAAATGTTTACGCTAAAACACACAAGATATTTTTTAAACCTATAGATTACGAATAAGAATAATGCGCTTTTTTCCCTTTTGTTTAAGTTTAAATATCTAAATTCAAGAAAACAGCGCATGAATGTGTGACTAATATGTTTCTCGCGATTTTTCTACTCTCATTTATGAATAATGAAGTAAAAAATTTTGGTTTTCTTTTCTGTAGAAATTTTTGAAAGATTTTTTTATTTTTCTGTAGAATTTCAAAAAATGCCTTTTTTGTGTATTGGAAGAGAAAGAAATACTCGTAATTTTTCTAATTATTGATGGTAATGAAAAATAAAAAGTAATTAAATAAAATATTTCGATTTTCTTATCTATAGAAATTTTCGAAAGATTTTTTTTCTCAGAGAATTAGTTTTTTTTTTTTTTCTGCAGAATTAGTTTCTAAAGATGCCTAATAATAAAAAATTTTGGTTTTCTTTTCTGTAGAAATTTTCTGCAGAATTAGTTTCTATTTTACTAAAGATGCCTTTCTCACGCATCCATCTGAGCGAAAAGAAATTCTTGTGATTTTTCTATTCTCATTTGAAAAATTCGACATTGACTGGCTTCAACTATAATTTCAATTAGATAATATCTATAAATAAAAAAATCAATACATATATTGGATAAATATATAATTATAATAATAAATATATAATATATTATTATAATTATATATTTATTAAATTTATATTTGTAATTAAATACATATTATAATAATAATATATAATAAATATATAATCCAATATATATTGGTTCGCAATATAGCGAACGTTTCTAAATAGTTCTAGAAATCGTTCCTTCCTTTCTTTTTTTTTTTTGAGACATTTTTATAAAATTTGACTGTGAGTGAGGATTTTGTTACGAATTCAAATTTGTAGCAAAATAATGTCCCTCTTTATTTTTATTTTGGTTTAAATAAAATGGATTCAATATTTTTAATATGTTATTCAGGAGAAAATTTTAAATCACGCATTTGAGTCTTCACTTTATAGATACTTCCTATTAAAATTTTTTTTATTAGAATAGATATTTGCCAACTTATTTAGTCGCTATCTGAAATTTCTGAATTCTACGTGAAATTGGAGGCTCTTTTCCGACTTTTTCCTACTATAGTGACTAATTATAATGACCCCAAAATTTTCAATGCAATTTTTTATTCTTCTTCTTTAAACAAAAGTAAAAGAGCTCAAGCGTTAAAACACCGAATTTTCGAAGAAATTTTCTTTTTTAGGAAATGCTAACGCTAAAACACACAAGATATTTTTTAAAGCTATAGATTACGAATAAGAATAATGTGCTTTTTTCGCCTTATGTTTAAGTTTAAATATCGAAATTTCAAAAAACAGCTCATGAATGTGTGACTAATATGTTTCTTTCTTTTCATAGTAATGCAAATGCAGTCATGAATGTTTCTTTGAAAGTTTAGCTCACTTTTCCCTTGGCCGGAAAAGAAAATCTCTGATGTAAAGCTTGTTGTGCGCTAGAAATAGTTTTGCCTTTTTTTTTAATTTTATGAGGTGAAAAAGGAATTTACGGGCTCATTCAGTTCCTATTTAGAGAAGAATACATATATATACAGTAGGGAACCGATTATCCGAAACGATCTGGACCATCGCTATTCCGGATAACTGATTTTTCCAGTTTTCTGAATCGCTACAAAAAGCCGTTTTTTTTATTGCTAAACCCAACTAAAAAAAATTTTTTTCGGAAATAATCTTAAAAAGAAGAAAAAATGGTGAAGTAATACACTAATGATTATTTCCAAAATGATGGTAAGGTAAACATCTTTCAAAAAAGAAAGAAAAATCCTAAAATCTCATGAGGAAAAAAAAANCAAGATTTATAAATTTAAAATCAGTAATAAAAACTCATTAAATTATTAGAAGTTTCATCCAAAAAGTTTTTAATAAATTAAAAGAAAGTAAAAAAATAACCTAACAAATTCAATTCTTTATAGGCGCCTAAATTAGATTGCCGATAATTTTCACATTTAAAAATAAAAAGAACTTTTTTTTAAATAAAACTTATCTAGTTAATGAAGAAACTCTTCTTTATATATTCTTTTCAATAATAGATTGCCTTCAGTACAAGGTAACATCGGCGATCACGAAGTTAGTCCCACTGAAAATAATCTACAAGAAAAATCGCGACAAAGAAAAGAAAAGTTAAGAGGTGCGAAAAGGAACATGCGATCTAACGATATGTGTTCTCAAAACTCTGATTCTACAGCTCACCAATCAAGGCCATTTCAACATAACGAAGCGAACATCGTTTTCCACAGCGCGAGTTGACATCGGAACGTAAGAGAAGAGTCTTATATCGCTATATCGTTATCTTATAACCTTGCGTGTCTTATATCGCTATATCGTTTTGCGCTCGTTGTGTTTACTCGACGGCTTAAATCAGATATCTGATGCATCGCCTTAAATGAAATTCGCTGTATCGTCTTGCCGATATATGCGTTAAATCGATATGTCTCGATACATCGATTTATAGCCCAGTCCTAGGAATTTTTTATACAAAAATAATCTTCGTTTTAAAGTTTATTAAAAAAAAGAAAACATTATTTAAATTGTATAAATTTCATTTCCTTCAATTTCCTTTCCTTTCGGAATTATTTGCTCGTTCGAATATATTAGCAATTGTTTCCAAACTTTTCAAAATTCATTTTATTTTTTAGAATACCTAGAAATCACTGGTAATTTTAATTTGAAAAGCAATGTTTTAAATTCTAGCAAATTCTTAAGCGACGCGACAAATTCTTAATTTTAAAGGACACAAAAATTCATCCCTCTTAAAATTAAATTTACTTTTATATTATGGTACTCTATATTTCTGTAGGGACCTACTATTTCTCGCACTAGATGGCAGCTCTACATAAAAGTAGACTGTAGTAAAGTAATTCTAATAATTCAAATTAATTTTTCAAATAATTATTTTAAAACAATTTTCTAAATTAAGTAAAAAGTTTTATTAACTTTAAAAGTGAAAATACAATTTATTATCCATTTTTATATTTTATAATATTCTATATCAGAACTATTTCAAATAAACACTTACTATAAAAAATGTGTAATAAAAATATTTTTTTACGCCAATAATAAGATAAACCACGAAAATAAGGTAAACCTTAAAACCGTATTTTTGATGCCACCGGGAAGTAAGACCTTCTTTTCCTCTTAGAAGTTCCTTATATCTACAGTTGCCAAACGAAAATAAATATTTTTTTTTATTGAAGACGAGTTGAGTGGTCCTACTTTCAAAATTATATAATATAAATTTTTTCTTGCCAAATTTTTTCTCTATAAATACATTTTCGCATTTAAAAGTTACACTTTTCCTCTATAAGCATTAACAATACGAGGTTCATCAATATAATAATTATCAAATTATTCATATTTTTTTATAATCGTTATCGGTAATTGATATAGATCACATGATGTTTCCTCTAAAAAATTTATTATTTATTTCTGATTGAAGTTTCTTGTTGTAATTTTTATTTTCGTATTACATTTGATTCTATCATGGTAAATTATTTGCTGTTCTATCTAAATGTATTGTTTCATTTAATATAAAATATTCTATTATATATTTATTTCTAATTTCTTTTGCATAATGATAGGATTACAGATAATTTTATTTCTTGTTTACATTCTTTTTTACAATAAATTTTTAGTTCGTTTACATTTTAATAAAATTTAAATGCTATTTATTATCTAAGATTCACACAATATTTAACGCAGTTAAAATTTGGTTAGTTGTCAATTAGAATATCTCCTTTTTAGAAGTACACTTAAGTCAGATCTTCTGACAAATTAATTTATATTTTCGATTTCGTCTCTTTTACTCATACCTCTACAAACTTGCGTTTCAATTTAAAATGGTAAATATCAAGTTATAGTAATTTCTTGTAGAAATAGTAAATCTTTTTTTGGAAACAGTTCAGTTTGTTTCATTTAAGGGATTATTAAAACTTTGTGACCTTGTGCTGTTATAGAATTAAGATTACTATTAAGAAACTTACATTCTAAGGAATTCAAAGCCTTCATTTTTTATATTTTATCAACTGCCCTGCCGTATAATGAAAATTGTTTCAGAATCTTAAAAGCAACATTGCAACCAACAAAATAATTCTCATTGTTTATGTTCACTTCAATACACATAATAATTAAAAACATCAGAAAGCAAAATCAATTTATCGCAATATCAAATTTTTACTATGATGAAACTCAACTCTTAGCTTTGAGGAAACTGTACCCTAAGTTTAGAAAAGCGTAGGTAAGATTTCATTTTTATTGTAAACTAAACAGAACATTGAAAAAAGTTTGTATGTGTTGATTGTTTTGTGGGGATAATTTCTGTTTAGGAACCTGTGCCAACACTGTCGCCAATTCATTTGGCAACAATTTTGCAATTTTATGCAAGGAGGCATAATTGCCAAAACTTCTAGGCATATGTGCCGTGAAAAACTCAAAAAGAATTAGAGATGGGGACCGACTCAAGAAGTATAACTTATAGCACCGGAGCAAACCTATACATGCTTTTTTTTTCCCCCTTTAATTTTTGCGAATTCTAAACTATTTTGACGGTTACAGTTGATACAAATAGATAGTGATACAAAAGTATTACCTTATATTTAGAAACTAGAAATGACACCACAGAATAGGATAAATTAATAGCCACTATTAAAAATTTTAATTTTTTGCAAATGGATGAATGGGGGTAATATCTTAGATTTATGGGTAGCTTTAATGTACAGGATATTCTCAATTATCCAGTCTTCGTACTGTCCAAAATGTAGAATGAAAAATAGTAGGGAATGTTAAAATGGTCATCTATACACATTGACTCTTCTTTGTCGTAACTTTTTATTTTATAATATGTTGTGTTTTTAATTATATGAGAGATGGGATGGGTTGTTGAACTTTTCTATATATTTTATTAACCAGTCTGCCTTTCGCCACATTTGACAGGATACTCATAAGCTTACTGTAACTTCAATAACAGATGAGAAAATTTCTTAGTGTATTTTGTTCCTGCTTATGTAAATGAAGTAGATTTAGAAAATGATAAGATGTAATATGAAATTCGAAAAACTAGGTAAATTTTGCTCTTATGAAATTCTAAAAGAAAACCCTTGGTAGTTTCATTTTTAATTTTTTTCCACCACATTGATGCTCGTTTGTAATCACATGTAGTATTATGTTTGATTTTAATATATTGTCCCATATTTCATCTCTCTAGTCTTATGAAGAAGAGAGTGCTGCTTATAACTCTAATTATGTAGTTGGATCATATAATAAAGATTTTGAATATGGATCTGATGAACCTGATGCTGAATTTCATGGTTCTGATTCTGAAGATCAGAAACCCAGGATTTTGCTCATGGGTCTAAGAAGGTACATCTTCTTTGAGATTTATTTATACTTATATTTTTATGTGTTATTCTTAAACTCATGGCAGTTTAAATTCTTGATTTTTTAGGAGTGGCAAATCATCGATTCAGAAAGTAGTTTTTCATAAAATGTCGCCAAATGAGACATTATTCCTAGAGAGTACAAACAAAATTGTAAAAGATGGTAAATTTTATTTATTAAAATTATTATATCTTTAACTAAGAAAATACTATCCTCTGATTTATTTCAAATTTTTTTCTTTTAAAAATAGGTAGGTTATGGCATTTATTTTTTTGTATTAAATTTTAATTTTTCCGTAATTTTTATTTTATGAATTGATAAATTGCAATTTAAATAGAGAATTATTAGCTCATATTTTTTAATATTGCATTAAACATCACATTAACTTGGGTTTCTAAATGAAGTAAATTTATTATTATTTTTTACTCTTTTGTTAAAATTCATGTCTTTACTACTATTTGTTAATGATCTTTTTATTTTTTATGACTTTTGTGCTGTAAATTTAATACACTTATTCCATTATCATGATTTGCTATAATTTATAATTTCCTGTGGTGGTATTAAATTATGACCTCCTTCTAACTTTCACTCTTTCCGAGGAAGTATTTCCCAAGCGGTAGTGAAAGACTAATATAAGTGCAATTGTAGATAAAGTAAACATTTCACAATTGCCATTTTCATCTCATTAAATTAAATTTGCAAATCCAAGAATTAAAAAAAATACATACAATTCATTACTACTTTAAATCTAAATGTGAAATACTGTGGAGAATCCGTACAGAGAGATATGAAATACTACGGAGACTCCGTAGATGGTTGTTAGCAGCTACGGTTATATGTTAAATATTTTCTTAGAGCATTGTTGTATTTCATAAAAAAACTTAGTTAAGAAATAATTATTTAGATTTACTTTTGATCCTTTCTAAAGGGACTATCAAATTTTTTAAACATAAACAGTTCTACCGTTCTAAGGTGATTTTAAAGTTTAAATATGTCCCTAGAGTTTTAATACTTTTATGCCAGTAACTTTAGAATCATATTGTTCGATTAAATAAGGACATTATCAATGAATATTTAGGTTTCAGGGTAACTTTTACTTAATGTCTAGAGTTTGATCATATTCTACTATTATTTAAAACAATAATGAGAAAAAAATTTTATTTTAATTTTGCAAAACTTTTAATTCTGCTTATACTTTTTAGATGTTTCCAATAGTTCATTTGTCCAATTCCAAATTTGGGATTTCCCAGGTCAAATAGATTTTTTTGACCAAACATTTGATTCAGATATGATATTTGGTGGGAGTGGAGCACTTGTGTTTGTTATAGATGCTCAGGTAAATCTTTATTTTTTTTTTTTTTCCTGATTAAAAATGCATGAGATATGTTTCTTTTTATGCTTAATTCATTTTAAGCTTCATATTTATTTCTTATTTGTGCAAAGTTATTGAGTTATATCAATCACATTTGAAAATATTCAAAAAGCTCTTCTTTTGACTTTTATTTGCTTGTTTTCCTGTTAATTGTTATTTATTCTTCTTGTAGAAACTAATATTAAATTGCAGTCTAATAAACAACTAGTTTTGTGCTATATTTAATTTTTATTAATTTTGCTTTTATGTGTGGTATTTATGAAATGGTATAATATTTAAGTATGTGTAAGTAAGGAAATCTGTGTAAGTGATTCTGTGTAAATATTTTTTTGTTTAAGTAAGAAAACTGTTCCCAAAATTGAGCAAAATCTCTATTATTAAATAACATTTTATGTAGATCATCCAGACTAAATTACTTACATGATATTTTAAAAACTAATGCTATTTTATTGATCTAAGGATGAATACATGGAAGCCTTGGATAGGCTGAAAATGACAGTTGCTCGTGCTCAGAAGGTGAATCCAGAAATAAAATTTGAAGTTTTCATTCACAAAGTTGACGGACTCTCTGATGACCATAAAATAGAAACCCAAAGAGATATTCATCAACGAGCCCACGATGATTTAATTGATGCTGGGTTAGATAATGTTAATTTAAGGTAAATAAGTTTAGAGCATTTTTAAGTTGATCTATCACAATTGTAAAATATTTCATTTGTATGATTCAGAATCTCCTTATTAAATTACATAGTTAGATAATATAAGCGCCCGCTGTGCACGGGTACATTGGTGGTGATTCTCCAATTTTGCAGATATTTTTTGATATTTATTGTAATATATAAAAATAAGTATCCGCGCGCTCAAAGAATAAAAACTGGAACGGGGGTAGGGGTGGAGAAAATACGAGCAGACAATCAATCATGATTTAGGCAAGGTAGAAGAAAGTCAGTGTTCAGTTGTATGCATACTCAGGGGTCTGTCCAGACCGAATTTACTACCGTTNGCGCGCTCAAAGAATAAAAATTTGCAACGGGGGTAGGGGTGGAGAAAATACGAGCAGACAATCAATCATGATTTAGGCAAGGTAGAAGAAAATCATTGTTCAGTTGTATGCATACTGCTCCCAAAGAAAAAAGATGAAACAGCCACTTCAGCCCAAAGATTGGCGATCCCATAGTTGTCGGTTGAACCTACGATCAGCTAGTTTTTACAACTCAACTTGGCGCAACTATCGTTTTACAACGAGAATAAATGATTGCGGTGGCATTAGGAAATCCTTTAATGAAATTTCGCTTGGAGCAAAATTTCTAATATTACTTAATATGATAATTACTTTATATGAATGCAGTTCTGAAATTTCCTATTTATGTTAAAAACTATTAATTAATATTAATTCTTGTTAAATGTTAATGTGCATCTATATATAGATTTTTTTTTGTCAAGAATAAATCAAAAATTTTAATAGTTCACTGTTTTTGTTTATTTTAAAAAATTATTTATCATTATTTTTTTCTTTCTTTTAGTTTCTACCTTACAAGTATATATGATCATTCAATATTTGAAGCTTTTAGCAAAGTTGTCCAGAAATTAATCCCACAGTTACCTGCTTTAGAAAATCTCCTTAACATATTTATTACTGTAAGTATTTCTTTTTTCTAATGTAAACTCTTGAATGTAAAATGCTTGTACTACTAAAAGATGTCAATTAAAAAATAATTTTTTTCTTTATGATAATTGTTAAATCTTTATATTTTAATTTTTTTTCGACTGTTTGAAGAATGTTTTTAATTACTAATCAATTTTTATTGTTAAATTATTTTGGATTATATATTAGATCTTTTTCTTTATTTTTTTTTATACTGAAGTTGAAAAGTAAGAAAAAGTGGAACAGATTTATCAGGCATCTGCACCCTATGTTTTTCTTACTAACCACTTTTGACACATTCCTATTGAATCCACTTTTGTCACATGCCAAAACCAATCAAATATTCCAACCCTAATAAATTCGAGGTTCACTTTTCTTAGTCATTTTTTTAGTATAAAACATGCATTGTATAAATAATTTCAGATCTATAACAAATATTAGCCCCCAGGCAACTGTTTCATTGTGCGTCTGTTCCCAGTGTCAAAAACTGAATAAAATATAGCAACCCTTTAAAATTAGAAAGTTCGCTTGTCTTGCTGTCAGTTTTAAGCAGCGTAGGGTATACCAGGCAAAGGCACTTTTCCTTAAAAAAAAACCCATCTATGTAGGGTATACAAGGCAGTGATACTTAACCTTAAAAAAATCTTCAGCACTCAACCGTAAAAAAGCAGCACAACTAAACAACTTAAAAACATCGACCTTTAGTCTAAAACATCGGCACTTAGCCTTAAAAAAAAGTAATGATTTTTACCTTTCATAAATTAAAAGTACGGCAGGTCTATAACAAATTACTGTCCTTAAGTAAAAGATTAATAAAGTATCTGCTTAAAATTAATTAAAAATTGCAATATAAAATCCTCCAAAATATAAATATAAACTCATCTCACTTCTTGAGAGTAATCCAATTTCTAGAAATCTTATTCACATAATTATTTATAAGAGCAATTCACAAATATTAAAAATCTTCTATTTGATAATATCATAATTGATCAAACCAATCAACAACGCACAAGACTGAAAAAACTACTAACCATAACAAACTTCAATTTCTGCATCAAAATATCCGGAAAACTACTAACCTCATTCCTATCTTTAAAAAAAAAACCTAAATACATTTAAAAAATCCTACATTCAAACTCACAAAATGAGACTCAAAATCACTTCAATAAACCAAACGTCTACCAAAACAATCAGTCCGCAAAAACCTAACGTCACGCAAAATTTAATCCTAAAACCATAATTTGTTAATTAAATAAATTCCTGCTGGAAATGTTATGTAAGTTAACAAACAGCAATGAAACACTCATTATGTCAATCATCTTCTCCCACCTGCGCTGTCCATCAAATCCCTCCGTGCACTATGTCAAATGTTCACCTCCAATACAATCTCTTTTCTCCGATCTGCATTATTTCAAAGCTGTTATAAACATTAACAAAACTTCAATTCTCCAATTCAGTCTCACCTACACCATTCTTTGCGTAGGATTCTCCTATGATTCCGTTTACATCTCCGTGATGACTATGTTCTAACTAACACCAGATTATTATCTGTTGTCAAACTTGGCAATGAAAAAAATCCTGAAAACAGGTACAGAGGTCTCCCAAGTCAGTACCGAAAAATATGTAAATAAGTAATTCAAATTGGCTAATTAAAATCTTAACATTATCATAAGTTTTAAAAGTTACGTTAAGTTTTGCATACTTCAAAGGGGAAAAAATTTTGTTTCGTGTATCTATGTATTTTCAATTTTCTTTCTGATGTAAAAGCAAATGTTTTACGACCCTTTATTTATTTATATATATATAATATTACTTATTTTCGTTTTATTTACTAAAAGTCTACTACTTTGTCAGACCTACCTTTAAGCGTGTGTATGGCAATTGTTAAATTTTTTAACTTTGTTATAAACATAATGATAATATCTGGGTAGTACCAAATAGATGAATGGTGCAAGTTGTAAGCATCTTTATGCATCAGTAATCTCACTAAAATTTTATTGAACAGTTTATTTTTACTATTCACTACTTTAATATGCATCACTAGGTTTTTCTATTGTATGCAATGACAAAAAAAAATTAGAATTTTTATTAAAAAAAAGGTAGTAAAGGGAAATCTAATGATAAAAAATATATTGTTACAGTAAAGCCTTGCTAAATTTTTTCTCATGGGTCCATTCATTGAAAATGATTGATGTAGAAAAATGACTAACACAAATAACATAAGATTTTGAATAATAACTTGAAAATGAATGGAAGATAATGAAGTAATGAACTTGAAAATTAATAAATTTTCAATATGTATGATTAGCACCAGGAGTAACTGTTTTTAAGAAAAGCTTTTGTGGCAAGACCGTTAAAGCAAAACGATACATAAAGGAAACAATGGATCAAGGTTTGACTCAGCTGCTGTGTTTTAAAAGACTTAAAATTTCTCATGCTTTCTAGCTACATCCGTGTTTTCTTAATATAATAGGATTATACTTAAATTTTAAATATGAAGTACACAAAATGAAATAACTTTTGTAACTCGTGTGAGTATTTAGAAATTTAATAAGTGTAATAAATTTCATTATTAGAATTAATTTTTAGGTTAAATCCAGCAATTTTATTTTTCATTTCTAGTATTTTTATTTGCATTGTGTAAAATTATTCAAACATACCAAAACAAAAATTCTAATTGATTTCTAGAATAGTGCTATTGAGAAGGCATTTTTGTTTGATGTTATCAGTAAAATCTACATAGCTACTGACAGTACTCCTGTAGATATGCAGTCATATGAGCTCTGTTGTGACATGATTGATGTTGTAATAGATATTTCATGTATCTATGGGTAAGTTATTTCTAATCAGATCATGTTTATAAATATTTTTTACAACAAGAAATATGCTAATAACTGTTTGACTTTCTATTATTTTAAATACAAATTGGATAAAAAAAATAATTTATCTTAATGTGACATGTAAAAATCATTTGGCATAGGTCTATTTTGATAGTTAAGATCTTCTCAAATGATAACAATATAATGTGTTGCTATATTTTTTTTAAATATGTATCTAAAAAAATTTCAAAAGAAATTTGAAATTTTCTTATTGGTGTGATTAAAGACTAAATAATAATAATAAATCTAATTAGATATTTCAAATTAAGAATTTGATACTTAAAAATGTGCCTCAGAGCTTTGAATCTGTAGAAAGTTTTGACAATTTTAGTCTTGATGGGATTTTTTTTTTTTTTTTTTACCCTCTTGACTTGTAATTCAGATTTCAAATTAGTTTTCCAACTTTTCAATCTTACAGCTATTAGTGTCACTTCTTTGGGAGTGTAAGTTATAGGTCCAAATATTTATTATAGAAGCAAATTATCGTTTAAATTTAAAAATCAAAAGAAAATGTTTATACATGTTGTAAGTTGTTGTAAACATGTTATAAGTTTTTAAAAAAAAAATTTATCTCATTTATTTAAAGTTTCATGGATTCCTTTTTTTTTTTTAAAGGGATTTAAATTTTGACGAAAAAAAAGAAAGAAAATATGTTTATTCTACCTAAATAAATTATTAAAAAAAATACATTTAATTTTTTTTCTCAATGAAGTATTTTATGGTCTATATTATTGTAAGGTCGAATGGTAATTAAATATGTATGTATGCTTGTAAAGAATTGTGTATTTTATGTAATATTTTCAACTTGTAAAACAAGTTAAAGTTTCTTGTTTTAATATTTTCAAATAAAGTAAATTTTAACTCTAAAATTCAATCCTTATTTATTATTACAAAAAATATTTGTATCATTATACAGTCAAATTATTTATATAGAGAATAAAGAGTACCTAGAAAATTCCCTCATTAAATCAAGGTGCTTGTTACACCCAACTTTACAAAAAGTTAAGTTTATAGTGTGTAAACATAATGGCTTACTTTTATTGATTTTGATTTACTTTGAAGGGGGGGAGAGAAATTGGGAATTTTATTTTTGATGTTTCTTGTTGTCTTTATTTTGCATTGTTTGATGTACAATTTCCTCTTATTCGAAGATATACTTTGATAAAAAAAAATATATTAACTTTCAAAAGCAATAAAATGTCTAGGAATGTCTGATTCTTTTTTTCTGTCTATGTCAATGAAAATAATTTTCGAAAATTTTATGAAAAAATTCTGTATTAAATCAAAGTAATATTAATGTTTTATGTAAGTTCTTTAACACAAAATCAACCAATTAAAAAAAAGGAGGGAATTCCCATGTATAATGGGATTTTGTTTAATCAGAGCTCGTTATAAATAAGTTTGACTTCAACAGCCATTGTTAGCTATAAAACCAATACTTATTGTCATTTTTACTGAAATATTTTCCTTGTAGCTTAAAAGAAGATGAAAGTAGTGCATTCAACTCAAAGTCTTCGAATATAATAAAACTAAATAACAGTACAGTTCTATATCTAAGAGAAGTAAACAGATTTTTAGCATTAGTGTGTATTTTAAGGGAAGACAACTTTAATAGACAAGGTAAAGATTATTTTGTTACTGATTTTATGAATCATATTTAACTTCAATTTATTAAAATTTTGTTGCTTTATTAAAGGTTATTAATTTTGTTTCATTTGTACTAAACTTTTATATTCTTTGGATAGATGCTTCATTTATTATCTTTCTGTGCACCTTTCACTAGTAATAATTTTTTTTTCGAACCCTGGACTTCCATATTTCTGAGTACCTCTTTACTAAAAATGGATCTCTATTTAAATTATGAATTCTCAACCTCTATCCTTCTATTAATATGCACATTCATATTATTTTATCTATTGATAGACGAAACGAAAAATTTCAAATCAGGAAGAGTTATATTTGAACTATCATGGCTCATAATTAGAACTGATCAAACACCTGCATCAAGGAAAAGCAATGGTGTAATTTGATACTCAGAATAATTCTAATTTTCTACTTCAACTACTAATAACAAGAGAAAATAATTTTTTAAATTTAGTCTACATAAATCTGCTGGCGTGCTATTGTTTTTTATTTTTCTTTCTGCACTGGAGAATTATGTGCCCTACAGGTCCAGTCATAACTTATTTTTCTCATCTTCTCTACAATTTTTGACAAATTTGTGTTATAGCACTAGGCTAGTGATTACAGGATGCCCTTTTAATATCAGTACTGTAATTCTAATATAAACACTGTTATTTGGTTTTTAGGGAATGCGTGCACTTTCCTGAAATGATCATGTGATAAACAATTGGAATGCAAATTGGAATGCTTGCACTATAAAAATTAGTCAATTGAGTATATTTTATTGATATACTTCAAACTCTTTTGAGAGTGAAGCTCTGAGACAAGTTTGTGTATAACATTTTGTGAACTGTGTGTTATCCAGAAAACAGCTAAATAAAATAGTAAAAACTTCTGAGTTGAAAGAAAGAATACTTATTATCATTTTTTAATTACTACTGCATTTATATTATTACAAAGGCTTATGTTAAGTAAATATTTAATTTCTTTAGTTTGAATCTTCTTTTTTAAGAGTAGGGAATTTAAATATAGATATGTTGGTGTTTAAAAAAAAATTGCTCTTGTAATAAAAATTCAATTTTAAATACCTTTAAAAGATAGCATTTATGTAAAATTTATCTGCAGGAACTTTTTTTTTATATTGGTTGTTAATGTAGTAATAGAAGCTTTTTACTAGTAGACTATTGGAAAGTCTGAGATTGATTCGTAACAATAATCTAAAAACAATAATGGATTAGAATAAATTTCCTAATTGCATGTTATTTCATTCTTATGTTATACAGTACAGAACCTCTTATCTGGAAATCAGAAAACCAGAACGAAATTCGATGCATTTTCTCGCCATTTCTTAAAGAAATAAATTTTTTTTCTCATAAGATTATAGGATTTTTCCTTCTTTTTTAAAATATGTTTACTTTACCATCATTTTAGAAATAATCATTGGTTCCTTACACTGTCAAGAGAAATAGTTCTGTACTAAATATCATCAATTATTCCTTTCCTCACCCCCAACATAGTTGGGTTTTTTTTTTTCAATCATAGCTCATTGAGAAAGGGTCTCATTGAGCACCTGTTTTCTTATCTGGCCCTTAAGCAAGGGGAGTCATCATGTCTGTTGATTGCTTAGTCAAGGAGAGTTAAAACAAAGAATTTTATTTGTCTTTGATTCTTAGAAATCTCTGAAAGTACTCCTTACAAGGGCTGCAGAACTCCTATTTTTCCTATTATCTCTGTGCCCCTAATTTTTTTCCTGTTATTTCCTACTTTTTCTTATTTCTTTAAAAACCATCTGTCATTTCTGCTATTCCCACTTTGAACATAGTGACAGCCAAGGAAAGGGGAATAATAATGACTCAAGGTCAAGTATTTCAACTGCACCTGTTTTTCAATTCATTAATTTTGATTGGGGTGTGTGGAGGAGGAAGAATGCAGTAGAACATAAATTCTTTTTATTATGTTCCCTTCTTTGTCTGCTTGCTAATTTATGTTTAACTGGAGTAGAGAAATAAAATCACTCAGCTTAATGAGAAATAAGATTGTGATACACATGTTTTTCCTTCTGATTTCGATTAATGTTTTAGCAAAAGTAGAAACCCAAGAATTTTTGAAATTTTTTTTTTCCCATCCAGAATTATATTCAAACGATGTCTTTCTAGCACATAGGAGGGGGAGAAAGAAATGCTCGCGATTTTTCTCTTCTCATTTGAGAATAATGAAGTAAAAGACTTTATTTTTCTATTCTCCAGAAATTTTTAGAAGATTTTTTTTTTTCCATCCAGAATTATATTCAGACAATGTCTTTCTCACTCAGCGCATTGGAGAGGAAAGAAATGCTTGCGATTTTTCTCTTCTCATTTGAGAATAATGAAGTAAAAAATTGAGTATTTCTTCTCCAGAAATTTTCAAATGATTTTTTTTTCTTCCCCAATCCAGAATTATATTTGAACGTTGTCTCTCTCGTGCATAGGAGGGAAAAGAAACGCTCTTCTCATTTGAGAATAATAAAAAAGAAAGAATAATGAAGTAAAAATTATTGTTTTCTTTTCTGCAGAAATTTGTTAAAGATTTTTTTTTTCTATTCGTAATTATATTCACACCTTGTAAATGTTTGTGATTTTCCCATTTTCATAGTGAAGTAAAAAATGGAGTGGGTGGTTTTGAGTCCTGCCGCAGACAATGACGAAGTAGAAGAAAGCGACGAGGGAGATGGAGGCCATTCCCCCCCTTTTTTTTCCCTTCCATTTTACCTTTTTTATTCATTTTATATTAAGCCTGTATATATTTTTATTTCATTTTTTCTTCTTCTTTTTATCTTATTAAGCTTATGTGCATTACTTTATTGTTTTCTCTTCTTTTTAAAATTTTTTCTAAATATGTATATATATATTTTTTTTAGTTGGGTTTGACAATAAAAAAAACTGCGTTTTGTAGCAGTTCAGAAAACTGGAAAAATCAGTTATCCGGAATAGCGATGGTCCAAATCGTTCCAGATTATCGATTCTCTACTGTAATAGTTTTTATAATTATTATGTTATAATAGTTTAGGAGGTCAACATTCTAATCTACACAGCTGAAAATCAATTGAAAGAACAGTTTCAAATTTCGGTCTTATTCATACAAAACTGAACAATGAACTTGAAGTACAGAGGGTTTCAAAACTATTTTTTTTGTAATCGCTTGCTTTGGGGAAAAGAAAAGTTAGAATGGAAATAAATGAAAACTGATTTTACAAATAAAGAATTAGATGATTGTTAAGTGTTTTTTTTTTTATAAGATGATTTCTTTTGTAATTTTATTTTTAATAAATAAACAAATTAACAGATTGGATAAATTGTAGTTTGGCACATTTTTATTTATGATTATTTAATATTTTCCACACCAAAATTCGGGTTTTTGACAGTAATGTTAAAATAATTCAAGAACATAATTGATGGAACACTTGTAATTTTACATGTATGTTAATTTAAAAATACTTCATATTTATAATAGGTAATAATTATTCCTACTCAAGAATTTTGGGGTTTTGACAATTGTCAAAAGGTTTATTTATTTTATTTTTTTTTTGACATGACGGTTAAAACTGTCAATTGTCAAAAATTTGCCAGCCCTGCCTCATTATGATATTTAAAGTGCTTAAAAATATTTTTTGAGTGCTTGAAAAGTGCTTTATTTTTTGTTGAAAAATTTGGCTATGCAAAGTACCTTTCTTGTGGCAGTTTATTTTGATTATATTTAAAAATTTACAGCATGAGTAAATCTTACATAATACAGGGTGCTTAGCATTTTTAAAAAGTGCTTAAAGGTGCTTATTTTCGTTTTTTAAAAGCCCTTAAAGGTGTATTTTTCATAGGGTGCTTTTTAAAGAACTTAATTTTTCCTGTTCCAAAATGAGATTTTTTCTTTACTGTATCATTTTTTGCCACAAATAACACAAAAAGTGTGGTTTTCACATTGTTCTATTCAACGTTTTCACAATTCATTCAACTACAATCCTTTTCGGCATATCAACAGTCCTCTGCGTTTGAAAGCACCAATCATTTTAAATGTTTGATGAAATACTTGCGGGTGCGCACACTGAGCTGGATTCAGTGGGAAGGATTCGTGCATTCTCATGAGCAACTCTGTTGCATTTTCAATCCATTCTCAATTTCAGGCTTCATTTTCTGCCCCCTGAAATTGAACTTAAAAATCTATCTAATTTTTGCTAATCGCGGGGACCAACTAAACATTGCCATTCCCCCCCCTAAAAGCAGAAGAAAATTTTATTTCACTTGTCAATTTCATTGTTGGTGACGCACCATCGTCTTCGTCACTGGCAAGCTAATGACCTTCGCATGCTCTTCTATTTATAGATCAGTACCATAATCCTTGAACCTAACATTGGGTTTATTCAATAACTACATATTCCATATGGATTCCCAGAGTAGTAAAGAATAACTTAAATTTCATCTCAAAATTTCCTTCTCCCTTTTATTAATTTAATTAAATAAAGATAAGAATTGAGATTTTAATTTGTAAGAGTTTCACTTGAGGAACCATCCACCAATGGCATAAAAATTTTGTAAACTTCTGTTGTACTTAATTGTTTTTTTTTACTTATTACTTTTTTTTGAATTATTATTTTTTATCATTGTAGTATTACTTTAAAATTTTCAGTACTTTTAAGTTGTTTTAGAAACTACATTGTATTTAAAGGCAAGATTTTAAAAAAGTATCAAGTGAGGGACTTTCGCCTCTTTAAAAGTGCCAAAAATCTTATGTTATTCAGATTTGTCATTCCAAAAAACTTTAATTCATCTCTTAATGATTTCATTTAAAACTAATTGAAATAAAATATCCATTATCTTAGATTTGTTAAATATTATAAGTGTAGGGACTGTTTAATAATTTACTTCCAACAAAAATATTTAGCTTCAATATTCATTATATTTACATATCAAAATTATTTGAATTTTTTTAAAGCATTTCATTAACGAAATACTGAACCAAGTAAAAAATTTTAGTAGAAATTTATGGCCATTCTCTAATTTACATTTGTGATAAGAATTTAAGTTTTCTTAGTTTGCTTAATCCTTTACATATCTTTATAAATTCGGTATGATCAATAATAGTAATCTTGTTAATGTTTTGTTGTAATGTAAATAACTTTTATTCAAATCTAAAAAATACACTTGATGACCATTTTATGCAATAGTTAAATTAATTATAATTTTGAATATTTTTTTACATAATTGTCTAAAGTAATTAGTAATTTAAAAAATAGAATGATTTACTCAATATTGAATATATTTAAAATTGTTCATAAATTGTTTTTATGGTAGCTACTATAATCAAGGAAAGAATTCTTTGTCGGAAACTAGTTATTTTATCATGATCATGCAACTTTGAAAATTATTTTGCATTTTGTAATATATATATGAAGAACTTTTAACAATATGAAAGGAAAAAATTTATTAGTGTGCATATCCTAATTATGATATTTTTTTGAAGTGCTTAAAAATATTTTTATCACTTAAAAAGTACTTAAAAGATGCTTATTTTTTGTTGAAAAATTAAGCTACGCACCCTGTAATAGTAATTGGAAAAAACAAAGTCACTGATCCAGCTAATGAAATTGAAAATTTTAATTGTGAATAAGAATATGAAATTTATCTTAGAAATTCACAATTAGTGACATATTTACTCACAATTTAATTCACTCACTGACTGGTTCTAAAATGAAACTTTTGCTTGCTTTTCAAACAAAACATACTTACTTGGAAGGATTTTGTACAAAAGATGCAGGAGTATTTTTACTACTTCTCAATAAAAAAACCACCTGGATTATAACACTTGAATACTGTGGGGTAAGTTTCTGTCATCCACTATTCTAGAAGTTTGCCTCTTGACCTGTGGTTTTTATGTTGAAATGCGGCTGAGATATTGCTGTATTTTTTGAAGAAATCTTTCTTAGTGATTATGTTTTGTTAGTCTTAAAACTGATAAAAGAAAATTAGCAGTTTTTTCTTAAAAATTTGGTTTTTAAATGCAGTTTGTTTTTTTATGTTTATAAATATCCCCTTTATAAGCTAATTTTGCCCCTTGGGACTTCATGAATTATTCAGTGTAGCTTTTAGGCTAGAAAGTTGAAGGTTCTCTGTAATATCTGTCCTTTCATTTAGTTAAAAGGATTTTTAAATAAGTTATTAGGGAAAAAATAATTCATTATCATTGCAGGATTCTTAAGAATGCTCTGTACTTTTTATTTAAACATTGTGAAGGGTAACATGCTTGTTTTTAAATATATTGTTGTCACTTTTTTAAACAGTATATGAAGTTTTAATATTTCTAACATTTTTGTTTTTTTCAGCACTTATAGATTATAATTTTCATTGCTTTAGACAAGCTATACAAGATGTTTTTGATGTACGTTTTAAGACTCCAAAATCATCAGGTACAATGTCTCGTACACACTCTACTGTGGAAAGTGTATTAACTAATGGTTATGGAGACCAACAATAAAGAGTGCCATATTATTGTATTAGTTAATGTGAATGAATTATGATTTAGGTATTTATAAGACATATTTTGGACCTTAAATATTATCAAAATTTAATCACATTCTAGTCTTCTGTTATCGACTTATCATATCCTATTTTATGTATCTGTTATTCTATCTGGTAAAAGTTGAGAAGTTACTTATTTTTCATTTGATTTACAGTACGAAAATTAAATTAGTTCATGTCCGTTCTTTTTTATATGGTTGACAGAATTGTGTATGTTTGAGACTAATTTTATTGTTTATAATTATTTTTAAATATATTTGTTTATGATTATTGCAGTAATGTTTTTCTTTCTTTTTTTTTTGGCATTTTGCCATTAGTGGCTTTGTATATAGACAAATCTGCATGTGTATAATTTCCTTCTGTAAAATTGTCCTATTGATCAATGCTAATTGCAAACCTAATTGAATGTCACAATTTACGCTCATGTATAAAGATTCTGTATCAATTGTGCATATCTGTGTCAAACTTTGTTATATTTTTGTGCGCTCTGATCTTGTATAAAATGTTTTTAACTTATGACTTGTATATAACATTACTTTCTCATAAAATGGCAAAATATTATATTAAGCAAACAATAAATAAATTTATATTGTTCGTTTTGTTTTATATATATAAGATAAAGTACTTTTCATCTGTCCTGATAACTCCTCCAGGCATCAGACTCACATGTTGGCAGTTATGATATAAAGTCACTCCAGTTAGAAGTATGGTGTTAGTAATTATGCTGTTTTGGTGTTAAATTGTCTTAATCATATCATTTCTGACATTCTCCTCCGTTTGAAATAGTTTTACTCCTGTTTCTATTGTAGCAGATAACCTTAAACTTCTTCAGATAACCTTAAACAGATTACTACTCATAGATATGAGAAGATGTCTTTTGTAATAGCTGTGCAATAATGTCTTTTGTAATAGCTAAATTTCTCTCATCTATACTGACATAAATTGTTGACAGTTTTTCGGAAAAGTAAGGAAACATGTCAATATCAAATGCAGTTTTCTAATCAGGTGTAAGAAAGAGTTATGAAAACACTGTAATTATAGTACTTTCTTTCACATTGCATATTCAACCTTTGTATTTCATATTTTTATGCATTTAATTATTTTTATCAGGGTAGACTTTTTTTTAATAGAAAAAAAAGCCTGTCTAAAAAAATAGTATTATGCTAACTTAGTTTTATAAATTCTTGTTTATGCATTTAAATTCAAGTCTTGTGTAAAATCAGCTTCTTCTTTTTTTTTTCCCCTTCCTCTTGGTACTTTTAATCTGATTTTCAACAAAATTTGAGAGAGCTCTAAAATGTATTTCTGGTTAAAGGTTAAATATTTACTTGCCTGGTGGGCAGGGAAGAGTGGAAAATACATCAATAAATAGAATTTTAACGACCCTGGCCATGTCGGGCAATATGGTTTTTAAGCCCTGATATGCAATTTTTCAAACGATCATTTGAATAATTATTGAAAGGTGTAAAACGGGGGACCAAAGTGGTAATATTATTAGGTACCAATATTATTTAGAGGTCGAATGAGTACCAATGCTATTCGGGCTCAAAGATTTTGAAAATTAAACTAGGATTTTAAATTTTGTTTTGAGACATTGAAATGTTCCAGAATAAATTATTGCACCACTTTTTGCTAAGTTGAAAAGATGAAGTCATTGAAATATTTGTTAATCTTGAAGCAAAGATGGTTAAGGCTTTAATAATTTAACTGAGAGTGCATTTTAGATGAGTATTACCCAAAAATATTCAAAACTTTGTTGTGTAGCATTTCTCTTTTAAATTGCTTTCCCAAGCTCATATATGGTTTAATTAGGTTAATTCTCTTTTAACAAAGCAGAAAAACGAATTGAATGTAATGCTCTGAAACGATGTAAAACTGAAACTAACAAATTTCAAACAAAACATTGCTAATGTGGCAAATAGTCATCAAGAACATCCTTCTCATTTACTAATGAAAAAAAATTTGATTTTATGAAAATAAAAGAATTAGTAAGTTTTTGCGGTCGATGATGAAAAAAAATTTCGCTGCCCCTGGTGTTAACAAATGCATAATTTCAACATACCTTAAGTTACAGAACAATCTGCATCTTTTTTAGAAGATTAAGAAGGGATCAATATTCCTAACAATAACTTAATTTTATTCTTAGAATTTTTTTTTTTTTTCAGAAAGGAATATCCTTCTTAGAAATTTTTAAGTTCTGTTCTCAGTAAAGTCAGATGTCCAGGCTTATTAAATTTTTGAAACTGTCCTTTAAAAATTGTCTTCTAGAATTTGAAAAACAAAACGTTAAAAGAATTAAACCATAACCAAAGAATAAGCTGAATTTAACATTTAATTCACTATAGTCTAATGTTACTATATATGTGATATTTACTGAAAACACCCATATATGATTAAAAACATTTATAAAAAAGGTTGAAAAAATTACACCCAATTCAAACTATGTGTAGGGTAAAGTGATCGTCCTTAAGTCTTGAGCACAGTCCTCAGTTCTTATCCTTAATAACTTTCAAACTCTGAGGACAGAAATCCCTCAAATCTTAACTTATGTTCTAAAATGTCGCCGAATTTCTCCGAAAACGCCTCATCTTTTTGTATGCAGTAAAAAATCAAAAATGCCCTTTAATTTTTTTTTCTTCCTCGTTTTGTCTTGCTAAGAATACAAGCGAAAAGCNATGGAGCATTTTTATGTAAATGTAGGCCGTAGTTACTCTATAGTGAGCAATTTACTATTTCAAAAAAAATATTCTGAATTTTTCATTAAATGTATAAAATACATAAATTTAATGACCCTTAAAACTTTATTACTAAACTTCATTATTAAATCCCATTCATAAAATATTTTGCTTAACCCGAACATCCATCAGATAGTTTCCTAATATATATAAAAATAATAGCAATGTAATTAGTCTTAGAGTCCATAATCGACAACTTTATGCTTCCTTTGGCTGAAAGTTAAGAATTGTTTCTCCTTTTTTTCATAAAAAAGAAAATAGAAATATTTACATATTATTCTACTACCCTTCATCTTCTCTGTACTATTGTACTACCCCTTCATGCTTCGTCATAAGTTCAGCATTTTAAAGTAGACGAAGTAAAAAAGGATAAACATTGGGAGAAAAAATATAGTGTTTGATAATAATATAATTATCAAACACTATATTATCAAACACTATAGCTTGCATACAAAGAAGTGTTTAAATATAGCTTGAATTCGCATACTAAATATAGTTTTAACAATTTTAACACCAACTTCTTATAAGGGAATAAAAAGTTAAAATATTTATTGTCTTAAAAAAAAGTTTAAAAAAAATGAGAAAGAGAGAGTGTAAGACTTAGGAGAGAAGGGTGTCTTGGGGTATTAATCCGTTTTTAGATGCACCTGGATTTTAGCCCCCGCCCCTCTAAGAAGCTGCAGCCATGATGGAGGAGATAATGATATAGGGGGTTAAAGAGGGGTAATGCACGTAGGGTTGCACACCCCTTCGTTTTGGCGTACGAAAGGGACACCGCTTCCGGTTGGCGTGTGTAGGGGTGACGCGCCTACGCGTCTGTAGCAAGTAAGTCTACGCGTAGCGCAAGTAAGACTCCTACAGACGCGTGACGCGTCTGTAGGAATCTTACTTGCTGATAAAAATATTCTTAAATGTATTTCGTCAAACATGAAGNATAATAAGGTTGAACCATATTTGGTTGAATATTCTCTATATTCGTAAAAGTCGTGAATATATTTAAAGTATTAACAAAAGAATTATTATGAAATGAATAATGCCGTCACGTGAAAAATGTGAATTGAAACAATCGGAAAAATCAACTGTCAAACGATTAACTTCTCAAAAGTAGAAAAATTTGGAGCTGGCTCCAAAAGCAACGTACCGCGGAACTGACCCACTCATTCACATGCAAAATGTTCATCTGCTACAAAAAATTATTTCAAACACGTAAATACATATATCCATCATTCTCTTAAATGAAGTAGCTTTATTTTAATTCCTAATAGATTTTTCTTATACGTAGTCACATTTCATGATAGCTGCAAAGTTATCAGATGACCTTTCTTTATTTGTTTTGTTGGCAAAAAATTAACTTAGGGTGATGAAGCTGATTAGGTAAGACAGATTTAGGAGTGCGTAACCATTTACCTAAGAATTCTGAAGGGTAAGTTCTTTGTTTTTAATTTAGAAAATTGAATATTATTGGCTGAGTACACTACCATAACAGTGCATACTTTTATTACGTTAGATTCAGTATATTCCATAATTACTAACAGCAAGAACACGCAAAATTAATGTAAAATTATACATAGATTTATTTTTGTCATTACATTTATGTATTTATATATTAATTTATAGTATGCATTTTTATACTTATTCAATTTTTTAAACAATATTTCCCTCGATTTTCTATTTCGACACTGTAATTTTCATTTTAAAAGTGATAACTGTTATTTTAGCATTAAAGTAATGTATTTGAGAATTTACATTTTAAAAGGTATATCCTCTTTTTTTCGTATTTATTTATTTGCCATTCGTAATCACTTGTTTTACTTTTAAAAAATCAATCACTACTTTACCACATTATTATGTAATTACAAGATTTAATTGTACACATAAATAAATCAGTGATCTCATATTTTATTCGAAATTTTTCACATTTCATCCTAATTTTGTACTTGTAATTAAAGCTATTTAAATAAATGATTCGTCATGATCTATAAAAATAATATGTACCCAATATTTCAAATAACGAATTAAATCCTACACCTTAAATTATGAAAGCCTAGGTGTCAAGAAATGTTTTTCGTTACGTATTTGATATTAACGAAGGTAGGAATGGGTTTATGTATTAAGGAAGGGTATATTGTACACTTAACCGAATTATAGCTCTCCCAACTCCTTAGAATTACGTGAAACTAAAGGTGTTGAAAAAGGTCATTAATAATTTTTATATTTTTTGATAAAAGTATGCTAGGTTTTAGATTGATACTTGTTAATGGTATATTTGTATTTTTCGATCCATTCGAGTCAAGTCCCCTAAAAACCAGATTGCTTTAAATCACTATCATTATTAGATTTTAACCACGATAATCTCGAAAACTGTAATTTATGAACCTTATTCATTTCAGATCTGAACGCCTCTATTACTATCTCTCTCTCTCTCCAGACCATTATTTGTAGGGTATTATCATTTGTTAATAAATCTTGTTTAATAGTACGAAATGAAATTTGTGGAAAATCCCTCATAATTTTGAGCTTTCTCTTAAAAGAGTAAGAAAACTACTTAGAAAATTGCTTGAAACTCTTTTCATTTTTAAGATATTTAAATCGGACTTAATCTTACAGTGAATCGTATTTGACAACTAATAAGTTAAGATAATATTTTTTTTAAATTTTTTTTCGCACATGCGCTGTATAAAGCACCTACTTCAATTACTCTTATCTGGCGCAGTTTTAATTATTATTTTTTTAATTTTAAAGCAATAATTTCTTTATCAGTTTAAAATTGATTCAAACGCTTTGTTTAATTTTTTTTTTTTAATATTTAAACTACAGCAAAAAAAAAAAAAAAATTTTTTTTCATACATCTCCATAAATATTTAACCAAGGTGTACGAAGTTTTGTCCAATTATTGCATATAATATCCAAAATAATAGTTATGAGTTACAAATTTATTGCCACATTTTTGGCACAGTTGTTGAAAAACATTTTTTTCCGTTTGTAGTTCATTGTCGGTACCTCAAACTTCAAAAAGCGTTGAACTTCATTGGTATGTAGGAGAAATCGTACCATTTAATAATTTTTAAATTTATGAACTGATTCTCTAAGTATTTATTTTTTAAATATTAAAAAATGTGTTAGTATCGAAGTGTCTCAATTATTTTGTCAAACTCCTGTATTTATGATTAGACACATACATATATATATAAATTTAAAATAAAATTTTTTATTAATGTATGTTATTCCAAATTTTTTTTTACATTTTTATTTAATGAAATCTCCTCTCCTAGAGATTACATTATTACACTATTATTTTCATATCCTTCCTATCTTTATTAAAATGACATAATCAGAAAGCTATAATGGGTAAATGTGATATTTAATTTTTTCCCTGTCTTAAAGCATTTTAAAACATATGGTGAATTTATTTTGCTAAAAAATTTTATGAAACGAATTAAATCTAAGGCAAAAGTTTATTTAATTTTAATTACATATGAAGCTTTAATGAAAAACAAACTTTTTATTTTAGTGAATCCCTTTGTTTTAAAATATATCTGTGAATAACAAAATAAATCGATTGAAATAAAGGGAAAAGAAGAAAAAAAGAACTATAGAAATGAAGATTGGTACTTGGTCAGGTAAGCGAAGAATCACTTTAACTAAACAGAAACTAGCATCCACACAGAAATCGGAACTCTTCTGCTAAAGTTTTCATTCCGGATTCAAAAAATAAAAATAATTGGTTTTGTTGGCGATGATCTCGTAAGGCGATAAGGGTAAGAAAGGGGGAATGAAATTCTCCTCGAAGGAAAAACGGATTAATACCCCAAGGCACAGGAGAGAAGAAATTAGACAATAAGACTCATATTTTGTAGGAAAATTTCGTGAATTTTTTTTTTATTAAACTTGTAGGAAACATGAAAATAAGGAAATATGGAAAATGCAATTGTAAACAAAGTGCCCCCTCCCCATATGCCTGAAAACCCAAAGGTCATGGAAGACAGGTCACCATGCCCGGCATTGCTGCAAATTAGCTTAAACTGCAAAATAGTAAGAAAGGCTATGACAAAATACTAGCTTGTTCCTAAATACTAGCCTGTGACAAAATACCATCTGTTCCAAAAAATACTAGGCTGTGACAAAATATCGCCTGTTCCAAAATACTAGCTGTGACAAAATACTGCCTGTTCCAAAATACTAGCTGTGAAAAAATATCGCCTGTTCCAAAATACTAGCCTGTGACAAAATATCGCCTGTTCCAAAATACTAGCTGTGAAAAAATATCACCTGTTCCAAAATACTAGCCTGTGACAAAATACTGCCTGTTCCAAAATACTAGCTGTGAAAAAATATCTCCTGTTCCAAAATACTAGCCTGTGACAAAATATCGCCTGTTCCAAAATACTAGCCTGTGATAAAAATAACAGGCTGTTCCGATATAGCATGTTTAAAATATTAGGTGGTAGTTTTATTAATAATAGGTTGTTAAGACACAGAAGTAGAACCACAAGAGGGGGGGGGGG